ATTTTACCCTAACTTTAAAGTTCAAATCTGACAATGTTTACTATTAGTACGCTTCATTTCTCACTTATGCACAAATATCAAGTGTCAAAACATTTGTAGGCCCCTCTAAATAATTATTTTGGTGGGTCAGAAGCCCCTATTTCCTGAGAGGTAGATATAAAAGTACATGAAAAAATGAAAACTATAGAGGTCTGGGAATGATTACACTAGTCGGCCTTTCTTTTGCAAGCATTACGATTTTCCAGAAAGTTTCTTATATCAAGCCATCATATATGCAGGTGATCCATTATGTGTGTGTTAGAATCCAATACCCAGACTGGCTAGCTGGATTACCGTCATTTTTGGTAAGTTAACTGAAAACTGCCCGAGGTATACAAGGCTGGTTTTTTTTTAGAATTTTTGTCTATGAAGGGGATAAAAAAGACCCTGAAATGGGGCTTTGAATTTAAAGACGCAAGTACTTAGTCAGTTAAATGAGTCAATTATCACTTTCCCTAATGCAGGATATGCGATTGGCATCTAATGAGGTTATGGTGAATTTTATAACAAAAGAATGAAGGAAAGGGAACATTACCAAACATTGTCCTTTATATAATTTTTGCTTCTTTAACGGGTATCTTCTGCTAGTATATATAATGTCAGTCCCTGGTTATATTATTTTTCAATTTATGCGGTATGCAGAATACTTGCTGTTAGCGAATAAACAGTAGTTACACGAATGAGTGACGTTAAATGAAAATTCTCTATACGTTTGTAGATTAAGACAAAGAAAACCAGTTGCACAAGAGGTCATGTACAAATGCGCTGTGTTATTGTTCTGTGTAAATCTAGCCCTAAGTTGTCACATGCTAAATGAGGCGTGAGTTTATTTGCGTTTATGTAATTTACAGTACTACGTTAAATCAATTCAATATATATTTTAGTTATTTATAATGTCAGTTAGATTTAATATATAGCATTAATTTTCTAAAATAGTAATAATTACATCTGCCAAATGTGATAGGCATGGTACATGAAGCTCTACATACGACAGTTCTGCTTCGGTGTTTAGTAATTAGCTAAGTAGATCCAAACACGTAAGGTGTTTTGGGGTTCAAGGCGAAAACAGCAATGATACCCAACAAATGACATAAGGCTGCCGGAATAGTCACAGAGTTTTTATTTTGGGTTTGCCTATATTCTTTATTAAGACTAATTATTATTAATTGTTATTATAGAATTTTAGCAGCTTTTCTGTTAAAAATGTTGATATAATTATTTCGTAGCTAACACTAAGATAATCTTGAATAAAAATGAAATCTTAAAATGGAGAACTTCTATTTCATTGCTCCGTCAAGTAATAAATTTCTAATCGAAAACTAACGTGCGTTAAAGAACAACAAAAATAAAAAACTTTCATGGACAATGATGTTATAAAACTACAAGTATTGCATTGAATAATTCGCTGTTTTTTGGTCAAGTGGTAAATGTTTTCTTAAAATTAAATCTGTAAGTTTAGCAATCGAATGAATGTTGTTGAATGTGAAAATTTACTTTTATTTTGTCCCCCTCCCTCAACAAAAGAGAGGCAATTACACTACATACACATAAGTTCCTGAGCTTTTTTGGATACCATAAAATATCTTATCGGTTTACATATAGAATAGTATATCGCAAATGAGCATTAATGTTGCATAACAAAACAAACGAAAATTAACATTAAATTCATATTAATATACTTAATGTATACATAATATGTCAACGCACCTGTTAATCTGCCTAATTTGCTACCAGAGGTATAATTCAAAAGCTTATAATTTGACTTAGGGCACAAATTTACTTACATTATATTTCGAGATATTCAGACCACATTAATATATTTGCAAACAAGCCGTAAGAAACTAACTTATTAACTGGTTGCTTGTATGTCTAACGGGTGTAATTCGAATGGATGAACAATGATGAATACAATGGTTTTGTACAAAAATAAAGTTAACTATACCAACCTCACCTCCTAATGTATAATAGGTCTTCTTTTGTAGTTTATTTTGGGACATCGTAGTCAAACACTGGCTCTGTTATGCTAATTCTTAGTGTTATAGATCTAAAATAAACATATATTAACTTTCAAGCTAAATTCATATACCTTACGTCTAAACGGACGTACATTATAGTAAGTAACTATGTTTATATAATTTTTTTTTCCAACATGCTGCTTACTTGTGCTAATTTTATGAGAGTAATATTTGTATAATACATCATTGTGGGGGAGACAGAATGTTTATTTAGAATTTTCGCGAAAAGCTACTCATTGAGTTATTTGCGCTCAGTGTCTCTAATTTTGAACTAATAAGCCAAAAGGAATTCAATTAGTCAACACCACCTACCGCTAACTCTGAGTTTACTTTTGTTTGATCTTGGCCGAGCGCGACTCGATGGTAGCATATCGGGCTGTGTAATTGAGTTACCATAGTTTACCATAGATTTGAACCACATTGTAGAGAATGGTATTTTATGTTAGTTTTATAAAAGGCTAGATTCATCATATTGAAATTTGCAATATATATATATATAAGCGGGAATAACGCTCTCTCTCTGTCTCAGTGGATCTGTTCCTTATGCACACCTTTAAAGCTACAAATTTCAAACTCGGGGTACAGATACAACTTTGTGCGAGAAGTAGCATGGGCTATGTGCTCGAGGCATCAGATGGCGCAACTTTAAGCCAAAGTGACCAATATAGCAATTTTTGGCAAACAGGACGACCAAAAAAGTCTGGCCTTTTCAATTTGGTCTCAAATTGAAACGGACGGATTTTTTGGTAATGTGTAATCAAGAGGGCTATTATTTACATTTCTTCTCTGTGTGAGGACTTCTCCTAATCATCCTATCCATGGTAAATTATATGTTAAGACAATTTAAAAACTTCGTGAAGCCTTCATTTGTGCTCTTTCTTCTACACATACATGCCTACTTTCTAACTCCTTAACTGAAAAAGGCTGGTGCTTTCTTTCGAACATGCGCGCACACTCCCTCAACTAAATAGGCTTGCTTCAGCCATATCTTTTACATGTACTCGAAAAAATTAGCTATACGATGACTTTACAAAAACGTTTGGTATCAGCACATTTTTATTTACGTTATGTTGCAACGAGAAGAGAATAAATCAATTATTCATTATAAATGGAACTATAATAAAGTCAGAATACGTTGCAAACGACACTTGACGACACAGCAGAAATCAGGACACCAAAAGGCAGAGAAGTTTGTATTGCAGACTTCAAATCTTATACAAGGCACAAGCAACAAGCAGGAGCAATGTAACATTGATTAAAATAGCTTTAGCAATTTTTTTTTGCACATTGTTATTTTTATTGATTTTAATCAAAATATTTAGTTAGGTAAAGAGATAATTTAGATTTTAAAAAAAAAAAATCACGATTAATATGGTTGATTTAATCAAAACTTTGCCTGATGCTTCACGATTCCACCAAAACGAAGGTTAAGCCTATCTAAAAATACAGCAAAAGCTAAAAGTGAGAGAAGGGACAGGGAAACAGAAGAAGAGAATTTGTTTGTTTGTAGTTATGCACAAAGCTATACAACGGGCTATCTGTGCTCTGCCCACCACGGGTATCGAAACCAGGTTTCTAGCGTTGTAAGTCCGCAGACATACAGCTGTGCCACTGGGGGGTAAAGAAGAAAGAGAGAGAGCTTCAAAAAATCTCTTCTTCTTTGCTCCTGACAGCAAAACAAAAAATATTATGTACAAAGGAGCTTTACAGTAGATCAATAAATTACTATGTAAATGAAAACTAAGTCAGTTAAAGCCATTTTCATTAGAGCAGCGCCGGGTAAGGAATAAGCGCGAATACAGAGTATTCTCAGCATACGCATAAACATAGTAAATGTATAGATTAGCATTCACAGACAAAATTTCTAAAGAAATTAAAGAGCTGCTAATATACAAAGGACGTCTTCGTTATATATTTGCTACTTTTTTATTTTTCGGGCCTACGATTTCCGTCTTTCATTTTTCAGTCTGGTCAGTTTTTTTTGTCTGAACAAGACACGTGTTTACGCGTCCAGTTGATTGATACTCTTCGTATTAGATATCTAATTATTGATATACACATATAACTATTAGCATTTAAACGAAATGTTTAAAAAAAGTCCGCCAGTGGGACAGTAGTAAGTTTATGGATTTACAACGCTAAAATCTGGGGTTCGATTCCAGAGGTGGGCACGGCAGACAGCTCAATGGGGCTTTGCTCTGACACAGACTAATTTAAAAAATATTGCAACAGTCTAGGACGGAAACATAAATTTAATTATTAGGCATACGTCATGTTACGACATGTTCAGGAAAAAAACAAGAGGTTGATAAAATTGACAAGTATTTCAGAATCAACAACAAAAAACAAATGGATTATGAATTAATATTTAACTGTGTAATCGACATACAGTTAAATAATTAATGATAAGACTAACATAATTTAATGCATTAATGTTGTTCCCTGGTGGCTCAGCAGTAAATTTGACGGCTTATACTAATATTTGACAGATTGCAGAATATATTCCACAAAAATAATATATTATATAAAGCAGGAAAACATAACTTTTAAGAGCACAATATTTACATAATTGGTCTGTGGTAACTATGGCTGGGATGGCCCATTTCTCAATACACTATAATTAACCTTGGTATAGAACTAACGTCATGAACATTTGGTTTCCAAGCGAATGTACATCAATAAATATATATATATATATATAAGTTCGTAAACAGTGTCTTTTTGCAAGGTTACCATGGCGATCGACCCGTTTTCAACTAGGCTTTCTTCAGTATACTGTGAGTGTAGATCAGTGCACCTAGCAACCGTTTGTTTCCTTAGGTGAGAGGTAAACAAAAAACTGGCAACCTCTTCATTCCTCTCCGCTCAAATCACAATGTCCGTGGTAAATTCAAGTCAAGCAACACGTGCCTAAGGACGTTCGAAAAACTATAGTGTTAAAGTTTGTTTAAATTTACGATTATTATCTGTAATGATGGAAGGCAGACTGAAGTCGTTTACCTTTGTCTTGACTTTTCTTTTAGCTTTGACCACTGCCATTGGTAAGTTCACAACTTTATTTTTGCATGTGAGAGACTCCTTTTTAAATCAAGCACAAAAGGTTAAACATACTGGTTTAACAACAATTTTGTGGAAGACAACAAAATCGATCCCCCAATGTGATTTCACTTGTTTTTTTTTTTAGACTTGATGTACAATGAAACAAAACAAAAGCGAACTTATACTATGAATACCAATTTGTTGTCCTATTAAAACAATATAGAAATCTTCACACACATATATTACACCGTAGAATCATCGTAAGTCTATTAAATTGTACTACAAAAAATGATGTATTATCCCTTAAGAAGCCGTAATGGCAAAACATCGGTTAAAATAAAAGTTATCTTATAATTATCTGGAGTGTAAATGCCTTTTTTCTCTAACTATATTATCAAAACTTGTACATCCCTCCAGTATGTGCTACAAATTCTGAAAGTATTAAATAATATTGTTTTAAATTAGTTATAAATTGTTCAGTAAAACACCTGAGCTATCCATAAACTTCGAAATTACATTGACCTTTTCACGTTGTGGTCATATTTAAGCGGATCCATATAGTTCTTTAAGAAAAGCAAGTCTTTCTTATTACCTGTTAATTTCAAGTTTAATTAACACAAAATTCGAGTTTTTCTTTCAGCAAAGGCTCTTTTTGAATCGCTTACGCTTTAACAGCAGGACAATTAAGCCAGTTTCAAATGATTTTTGACTATGACACGTTTCCTTAATAACTTTGCAGGACAATGTATTAAATTAATATTGGGACTACCTATTAACATCCTTTTAAACGCTACCATTAACATCTAAGAAAGAGAGAATGAAAATCTTTCATGTAATCATATTTTTCAAAATGAATGACACACACGTTTATGTATAGTACAAGCTGAGAGCATAAGAATTGAATAAAGGGCTTGAACTAATAAATTAAATCAAGAATTTGTATTTGTATGGATAATCTATTTCACACATAATTTACTTTACAACTAATTTATTTCACACCTACTTTATTCCACTTTACATAAATTGTGTCACAATTACTTTGCTTGACTTTATTACTTTTACTAATCCCTCTCTACAGCCTCAGTGTTTGTTGTAACTCTGAGTGCTTCTTGATAGACCACATTAAAAGTTCTTCCTCCTTCCTGGTTCAAAATAAAGAGGTTTCTTGGTGATGCTACTCTTGAACACCCAACACAGAATTAATAATGTGAAAAGCAAGGGGTTTTCAGATGTAGCCCTGACACTTTGAAGGTCTGACCTCGTGCTTTGGTTACCATTTTTCCTGGCAACAATGTGAATGTTTGACATTTTTAATGAAAGAACTAAACTTTTTCCAAGAAAAACTCAAAATAAAACATTTTAAGAATATAAATTGGTCAGAGATTGAGGAGTCATTAGCTAAATAAACATATTTTGCTGTAGACGTGCCCCAGGGTAGATAAGACCGAAAAGTAACCATTCTGTGACGTGCCCCTTGATCCAATGCATCATTCTACCAAGTTTGGTTGATATTGGTCCAATAACCACGGAGTACTTCGCGGACAAACAAACATTTTTTTTTACACTTTTACAAGTATAGATATTGTATCATCTCTGTGCTATATTTGCGTGTTAACCCTGATGGAGGTTTGTTTGCATGTATTGTAGTTGTTTAAATCTCGCAGAAAAATTCGACCTGATGTAAATATCCATTTTTTATTGTATATAAAACAATGGTTAAGTATCCATATATTTTAACACACCATTCAATGAAAGATGTTGCATATAAGAGGATTGGATGAAGAAAGATAGTTTATCTCTGACTGCCCAAAGGGCAAATCCCCTCGAACACCTGTCGTGTACAAACAAAAAGCTTCCCCAGATATAACGTCCGTTACAAAGCTTTATTCTAACCAACTCAAAAATATTATACAACATTTGTGATTGAATAGGTAACACAAACAAAAGACTCATGTGCTGCCTACGCACTCAATATATTTATTACTTGTTTATAATATTATTATTGTTTTAACCACAAGTGCTGACATGCTTTAACTTGTCACGAATTATTCAGCTACTGAGAAAACTGGGTGGGTTGGAGGTGGGCATGTTTCTTCAAGGTCAGCATCTTTTATTTTCAGTGCTTACTGTATGCAAACCGCAATACACATCCAAACGGTTTATAACTAAGTTCCTTCGGTGAAATCAACCAAATTTTAGTAGCGAAAAACTTGCAAATTCTTCTAAAAGTAATTTATTTTAAACGAGTGATTGTATTATCATCAGTTCTGTAACGAACATTTGAAGAAGCTTGTAACGTAAAAATATTCAACGGTATTAATAAAGTAATATCCAACTTCTCAGATTTTTAGTTAAAAGTTTCTGTCCATAAATTAGCGTAACTTTTCCCCGTCTTCTGGTGTGACAGCGGTAAGTTTACAAACTTACAAAGCTAAAATTCGGGGAATCCGGGGTTCGATTCTCCACGGTGGACACAGCGGATAGCTCAATGTGGCTTTGCTCTAAAAACAACCACCCGGATTTTTAATTTGTTTATGTTTCGTCAAAAGAAATTATACTTTGTTATTCAATAAAATTTGTACAAAAACTAAGTTCGGAAAAGTTTATGTATTTAGGAACTAAAAATAGATTATTATTCTGTAAGGATTGATCAAACCACTGTTGCAGATTCAAAGAACGGCTGGCCAAAACTAAGAGGACCAAACAGGAATAAAAATGTTACATCCGACATGGTGTCGTTAGAAGAAATGTATTGATAAAACAATAAGAACATTACATTTACACCAATTGCCAGAAAACACGGAATTGTGTAAACAAGAAGTTGGCAAAGAGGTAGTCGCAACCGAAAAGAAATAAAGGAAGTATTAGACATCAAAATTGAAAACTATGGGCTCACAAATGGTATCAACTCGTCTATATAAGAGTCAGTTTTTGTGAGATTCACTGTTACAGAATATGACAATCTAACTCATTCCAGTCTATCAAACTGCAATCGGTGGTGAATCGGATGTTGACTGCAGCGCGTCACATCAGCCTAAAATCATTAGTGGACTAACTTATAACAGCATTTTTAGCATACTTTGTTTAAATGTTACAAAAATTGTCACTTTTATATGAAACATGAGTACTTGTGCTTTTTTAAAAAATTGTTGGATAATAATAATATGTTCTTTCCAGTTTTAACCTTAACGCCATACTATTTTTGTTCTCTTCACAATATTACATTCGTACTACAGCGTTGTTTCTCAACAACACGGCTTTTAAACATGCAATTTACTTATTAGAATCGGTATAAGTTTTTCTAATCAGTCACGTCTAGACCCCTATCTCATAACGAGCTCTAGAAAGTTTTTGTTTGTTTGTTGTGAAGCACAAAGCTACATAATGGGCTATCTATGCGGTGACTATCATCAGTATTAAAACCTTGATTTTAGTGGTGTGAAGCCTCACACTTAACGCTCAGCCATTAGAAAGGGAGCATTCTCGAAAGAGTTTCCAAACTTGAGATTAAATAATTACAAATTATTTCATGATGAAATACTTGTTAGGTTTGTGCAGTTTGTTGAATAGTGAAAAAAGTACTTTACAATATTTTGAATCAGTTAGTATTTCTTGAATCTTTTTAAAGGAATCGTATACCTGAGATTAACCAATAACAGGATAAAAATAAAACATTATTTAACGACATTGCTTACCTTATACAACTTCCTGAATTAGCCACGACGTAATAGTAGTCCACCGATTTCATTTTTGTTGTAAAAACAAAGCTACATAATGAGTTATCTAGGTTTTGCCCATAGTAAGTATCGAAACCCGATGTTAAGCGTTATAAGCCCACTAATTCTCTGAGTAATTTCAACTAAAGATGCCGAAATATAGACAAAGTATTTGGGTTGATGCTACACCTAAACATATAAAACCTATTCCTACCATTGTTCTAAAGTTTTGCTACCTCTGGTTTTCTACAATCTATAGAACTTGTTCCTACAACAATCTACATTTTCGCGCCATATTTTTGCTACCACTGTTTCCATCATATATATATGACATGTTCTTATCACCGTTTTAAATTTTCACACCACATTTTTGCTACTACTGCTTTGTAGAAGCTCTAAAATAGGTGTTCTAACTCTGCACCTGTTCTAAGTACTTGCACCACACTTTTGCTACCACAGTTTCCTATAATTTATAAAAAAAAGCGTTTCTAACTATCATTGATCTAGATTTTTCCATGTTTTGTGTTCATAAATTCTATACGCTATATTTCCAGCATTATCTCTTATTACATATTACAACTCCTTGTGATCTCTATTCGAGCAAATATCTTTAAAAATGATTCCAAAAGCTTTTAAAACTATACATTCGCTAATGTAATTTTTTTCTTTCATCATCGAAATTGTAAAGGAAGACTGGCAAGATCAGTGACTAAAAATCAATATTAGGCTCAGTATTAAAGTAGTTTCTAATTGAAATACATATAAAAATTAACTTTTTGAGACCTGTTTCTGGTCATTTACATTTTGCCAGAGAGTACGCTATTGCGAACAAAAAAAAGCTTTTGAATATGCAAATACGATGAACGTAAAAGGACATTTCGTCATGTCTGACCACTACATATGAGAAATTCAGGCAGATTATGATTCCATTTAATGCTTTCATTTTTTATAGTATTTTTTTTAGAGAAAAAAAAACAAGACTATGTTATTTTTCATTTATACGTTTGACTTGTTTTTGGCTAGAGGGAGATTCTTAATGTCACGTAATGTGCGCCCAATAACAGATGCCATTATAACATTAGTGACAGAAATGAGATTACTTAGGTAAAATTAAGATAAAACCAGAACCAACTTCAAGATAATTCCACATGGTCAAAGCGAGATTGAAAGTTTGCTGAAAAGGCTAAAATAGTGTGAAAACGATTAAGAAGAAAGAGGTGAAAACCGGAAGTAGGAGACGAATAGTAAAAGAAGATCATGAAAAATGAGATAGGAGCATAATAAGA